GTGGTTTGCCAGTGCCTCCTTCCTAGAGCAGAGCCCAGCTGGCGAGCGCAGGAGGCAGGGTTTCCGAGGCTTCGCGCCCTTTTCGGGTGAGTGCGGTTTTTCGCGCTTACCGGCAACTGCTCCCGACTCCTTTTGCAAGGCGCCGCCAGCATTTTTCCTCCCACGACAAATAGAGTAGGCAGGACAGAATTCAGGCATACTTTTACTAGCATGGCAGCATTCTTCTTGGTTAAAAAAGAAAAACTTTATCAATATGAGTTTCTATAAAATATTATCTTACGTTTCACCTAGTAATTATACTTTTTTTTAGAATTGGAATCTTTAGAACAGCAGTTAGAAGACAGTCAAGTAGAAAAATTTAATATTAAGCAAATGAAAGACTTATTTGAACAGAAAGCAGCACAACTGGCCACTGAGATTGTGGGTAAGTTGTCCATACTTATTACATAATAAAGTGTCATTCTTGTTTAAATTGAAGGAACAACTTTTTAAAAATCTTTCTCTACAACAGAACTTAAAGCCAAATATGATGAAGAAACAAGCCTTCGAGAACTTGCAGAACAGAAAGTGACTAATTTAACACAAGAGCTACAGGAGCAAAAAGGTGTATGTGAAGATTTAAACACAGAGCTGGTAATTCATGTGGTCATGTTTTATCATGCATTGTCTAATTGGAAGGGGATGATTCCAACAGCTTGATTATTTTCATTACAGATGTTTAAAAAACAAATTGATGTTTATATTTACAGTGATCTATTTATGGTGCAAAATAAAGAGTCTACTTCTATGGTAGAATAAAAAATCTGTTACTTTCCCATGCTCAAAATAATGTTTTAATTTGAAATACCTTTTATTTTCCATACATTGTCATATTTTTCCTATTTATCATGGCAGTAGTAGTTGGTTGTCACTAGACATTTATTCATTCATTCATTCATTTGTTCGTTCGTTCGTTCATTTATTCATTCTCCCCTCTCTATTTATTGCTGTTCTTAGAGTTAATTTGTAGTGTATTGTTGAAGGCAATTTGTAGTATTTTTATAAATTAGGCTATTTATGTATTTGTGCATGTTTTATAAATTACAAAGTGCATTACTACAGAGGAAACTACTTTTGAGTACAGAAATTAGATATCAGGTCTGTATAGAGATCCACATTCAAAGATTCTTGGCTGATTACAAATATGTATATCAAATACCCACAATAAAAGATAACATGTCCACAGTACGTAAAATATTCCTAGAGAAAATGTACTTATGTGGTTGCTAGGAGTCACCACCAACTAAATGGCACATAATCAGTCAAACATGGAATATATAGGAAAAAATCAATCAAAATCATAGCAACATAAAATCTAAAAATGGAGCAACCTGGGGAAGAAATCACAAGATAGCATTATCTTAATTAAGTTAAAAATGAAGTTTAAAAAGCCTCCAGAAGAGGTCTATCTTCAGTTGCTTCCACTGAAGGCAAACCTCAGTGTGGGGGCAAGTCAAACATACAGGAGAGGTCTATTCTATAACATAGATGCTATACAGTTATGGAAAAATATCTCCTCCTGGCTTCATTGCCCCTAACTTCACAAGAATAAGTGATTAAACATAACTTTTCCTGGGATGTATATTTTGGACAGGTTAATTCTAACTGCAGGAAATCCTAAGCCACATAGGAGTTTCTAGGTCAAAGCAGCACTTTAAACTGAACCTGGAAACTTGTTAGTAACCAGTTCAGGTCCTGCAGTGCAACTGTAAAGTGGACTGATACCTTTTTGCATCAACTGCAGCTTTTGAGTAGTCCTTAAAGGAAGGTCCATGTGAAGCAGATGTAAAGTAAAATAGGCATGAAAGCTGGCTGGGTGACTGGGCCAGTCATTCCCTTTCAGCCTGTAGATGTATTTTAGCTATATTTGAATATATTGTAACAGCTTTCATGAAACTTAGCAGCTCTAAGGCTGGACATTAGAATACGGAATGTATATACATATATGCGTACACACACACACACACACACACACACACGCATACACACACAGAGAGAGAGTCTGTTTTGCACAGACTCTTATAACTTTATAAACCATATTGAAAATATACTTTCATTCTGATTTTTGTAATACTGATTTTTATATTGCTGTTTTCTGAAGCTTCAAAGACCAGGGATAGAAGATGTCGCAGTTCTAAAGAAGGAATTAGTCCAAGTTCAAACCTTGATGGATAAGATGACTTTGGAGTGTGAGAAAAAATCTGAGAAATTGAAAGATGAGTGCAGTCATTTGAAAGCAGAATATACAAATGCAGAGGTAATGAATCTAGTTAAAACATTTGAATATGAACCATAATTTTATATAAAAATAATGTTAATCTGGTTGCTTTAGTAGAAAGCTATATGATAAAAATTTGATGGTCTTTTAATGGTGGTGCAATAAACTTTTTGCTGCAAGATAATAGTTTCCCCTTTGGAAATTTTCTAGTTATAACACTGATATACCATCATTATAAATTTGTATTATTTTGGATGTCTGCAAGGTAGTTCCAGTTCAGTTCTAGTTCACGTCTCTATTGGATGATGAAGCCTCTGCCAGTTAGAAGGTGGAATAATGTCATGCTTATAAACAAATCTGATATCTCTTGGAGCTGACTTATTATCTTGCTCAATTTATGTTTTGAAGTTCTGAAGCCATCCATGTTAATGCTTTGACAAGACCATCAACATGTCAGAATCAACTTGAGATAGCATTTTATGTATCAAAGTGACTGTATTTTTGTGTTGTATCAGACAGAACTGTAATGACAAAATAATTATAAGGTGATGTTTTACAGCTCTGCAATGTTTAATGCATATTTTTAATATTAAATTAAGTAAAATTAGATAATTTAAGATATTTTTAGCTGCTTCTGCCAAACATTCAAATGCTTTTTAAAAAAAAATTGCAGTTGTTACCTGGAAACATTGCATATAAGCTCTATATTACATTGCACTGTTACACCCTAATGCTAAATATAAGTTGATTTGATTAAGTAATAATATACCTGATTGTGTTGTTAGGCTATATAAAATCCTTAGATAAGTCAACTTTCAAGATTTTGAGTTCTGCATTCATTGTCTTATTATTTATTCAATATTTGTTACATGTTATTTTGTTTTTGATGGATGCTTCATTAGATTGTGCCTGATTGGTTGCTTCCTTCAATCTTGCTTAATTTTTTCTTGAGGTCCTTCCTAAATTCTGAACCTAAAATTCTGCTTAAACTGAAAGATTTTATTTTATAACTCCAAGTTCAGAAACCTATGTACTGGACTAAGAAAATATTATAAAATATTCTGTACATTTCTATAATGAAGGTGATAATATATTGTAAAATATATAAAGGTTACATAAAGATTACTAATATAATATTAATAGTATTATGCATGTTTATTTTGGTCCCCTAGTTCTTATTTCAGAGTACATATGTTTTGAATCTGCTTATAAGAACCTTTACATAGCTAGTCAAACTAGGCCTTTAGGGGTACAATGCGTCTTGCTCCCAGATTTAGCTGAAAGTGTACTTATCTAGACAAAATTGCAAAATAATGTTTATCAACAGATGCTGGAAAAAAATTAATTGGTGGAAAGAAGTTTAAACAAGTATCCATTCTTGTTTAATCAGGAAATACACATATTGTGCAAGCTGTCATTGATTAGGCAGTGGCTGTTTGACTGTACAAAACAGTTGTTTTTGCCAAATAAGCCACAGTAGTTGCATTCCCTTACTATGCAGTGTGTGAGCCCAGTCAGTGCAATATTAATATCTTGATTTGGGTTAGTGGTTCTTAACTGCTTCTCAACTGTATTTTAAGACACATTGAACACTTCCAAACACCTGAGAAAATAGAGACATAGAAGTGGTAAACTCTAGAAGTTCTTGATGAAAGAATTAAAGGATTGGAACAGTGATAGCCAATCCTCAGCTCCTAAGAAAGAACAAAGATTCACCAGAAGAAAGTAAGGGGGCACTACAGTAAAAACTGACAAAAGAAGCAACTCTCCAGAAGGAAGACCATCAAACAAAGGAACAAGTCCAATGGATGAGAATGTCTGCAGGAAGCAAGAGAAATCAGACATATTCTGCATCATTGGAACCATTAAGGATCAGTCTGAGTGCTCAGATTCAGAAACTGAAGAACTTGACCAGACTGAGCCTTAGCCTTCATCACATGAACAGAGTGCACCTGAGGAGAGACAGCTGCAGGCTGAGTCAGCTGACCTATAGAGTCTGTGTTAACCAATGTTCTGACCCCAGCCATACGAAGAGAAGATCAACAGAAGTCACGTGATTTATTTGACTGAAAGAAGTGTGCTTCTGCCAGTTAGTCAAGCTAATAATCAAGGACCTAGTCCAATGAATGAGAAACTAAGTTCTGTGAAGAGAGATGGGCATGTTTAGCTTTGAAAAGTCTGAAGGTGGGGAATGTAATAGTGGTCTTCACACAGAAGAATGCCAAGATCTATTCGCCATTATTGCAGAGTACAGTGCATGAAATAATGGATTCAAGTTGACAGGCAGGATAATTCTGATGTCAGAAAAAAACATATTGACAATAACAGCAGTTAGGCAATTGAACCAGTTACCTAGATAAGGTTGGGATCTCCTCTGTAGGAGATTTATTTTATTTTATTTTATTTAATTTAATTTATTTTTATCCCACCTTTATTATTTTTATAAATAATTCAAGGCAGCGAACATATCTAATACTCCTTCCTCCTCCTATTTTCCCCACAACAACAACCTTATCCCACCTTTATTATTTTTATAAATAATTCAAGGCAGCGAACATATCTAATACTCCTTCCTCCTCCTATTTTCCCCACAACAACAACCTTATCCCACCTTTATTATTTTTATAAATAATTCAAGGCAGCGAACATATCTAATACTCCTTCCTCCTCCTATTTTCCCCACAACAACAACCTTGTGAGGTGAGTTGGGCTGAGAGAAAGTGACTGGCCCAAAGTCTCCCAGCCGGCTTTTATGCCTAAGGTGTCATAAGAACTCACAGTCTCCTGGTTTCTAGCCTGGTGCCTTAACCACTAGACCAAATGCTATAATTTGAATTCCTGTGGTAAGCACAGAATTGGAGGGCCCCTTCTAGCTCTGATTTTAGGTTTAGTCACTCACAAAGACAAACATTTTCTGATTGAACATGCAAAGCAACACTTATATATTTGTCTGTTTTGATCATACAGTTTTCATATGGAATTGCTGAGAATATTCTTGTGATTTTGTCTAGATCAGCTTTGAAAATCACTGAAGTTGTCTGTCCTACTAATTAAATGTGCATGGGATTTCACCGTCAGGCTGCTGATTTAGGAGATCCATGAACATTCTGTCTAATGTTGCAATAACATTTATCATTGTTTTCTTTTCCATTCACCCAACATTTTTTTTGCTGCTTTCTGTGGAGGTCTTTAAATTCGAGGTAATACCCTAACCTTTACACCTCTTTCCAAAGGTAATTACAAACTAATATTAAACCAGATAGGAACTAATTTGTGTACATATTTGCAAGCCACCCCCCCCTTTTTTTTTTGCTGTTATTTTACAAACTATTCTCACAATTAAGGTAGCCAGATTTCCAGTGATTTTATGTGATTGGTATAAGCATCTGCATTTTGTCTCTTTTTAATGAATTTGAAATAAAACATACTGTTCTATCCTTTTTGGATTTAATTCTTTTATTATTTGTTTGGCGTTTTCATGAATCACATTGAGGCTCTTTCTAGGGCTGAAAGGAACAGAAGCACCTTAAGTAAATTCTACAAAATTTCTGGATAAATATAGTTCCAGAAAATCAAGGAAAAAAAAGACTGATCCAAAAGCGTATATCAGTTTTCTCCAACATGGTGCCTTCAGGGCATTAGATTATATTTCCCAACTAGCATTATAGAACTTGCAGATGAACATGCCCGAAGGACAGTTGTTTGGGGAAAGTAGCTGCTGAGAGCAGTTGTAGCAGTCTAGCACTTACATGTCCATTTAGATTCATTCTCCCTTAATAAAAGAAGAAATTGCATTTTCTACATTAGTGTTGCAGCCCTACTTTTTGGTAAGCTCATTGCATATGAATTCAAGTTAAAAAGAACACGGATCACAAAGATGCTTTGTAGTCTCTTATATTTTATTGAATCTTTAATGTTTGAAGTTGGGTCAAACTCAGGAATGAATTTCTTGTAGAGTGGAGGAAATCACTTTGTGAGCATGCTGTAATATGGACTTTGTCAGAATCAGAGAAAACTCTTTTATCTGTGTTTTGTTACTGGTTTTTTGTTACTAGTGGTAACTCCCCACTACAGCAATTCATGGGAGAACTGTCAGGTGAATTACATAAATCATGATCTACATGCTGATAAGGTTTATTTTTCCCCTCTTTTTCTTCCTCTACCATACATCATTCACCCTGAAATCTGTCCTGCATCCAAATTCCAAGTAGAACATTCACTTTTAAAGAAAGCTATGTTCATTATGTTCCAACATACTAGTTTTTAACTCCAATATATTTATTTTATTTAATATATTTAAAGTATTTCTATCCTGCTGTTCTTAAAAAGCACTCAGAACAGCTACATGTTGTTGACTGGTTACCATTAGATTTTTAAAGGGTTTAGTTGTTTTTTTCTGTTTTCAATCACATCTTAAAACTGTATTTTTAATAAATGCTATATAAGTGCATACACATTGCACTGTGCACACCGTGCAGCTTTAAGTGCACCTACTTGCCACCTTGTTTCTCCAATCCTCATTTTCAGAACTCATGATTAGTAACTAGAAATCCTTATTCCACTGACTATTACCGTTATAGAACATTTATATTATATGCTTGTCAATGCACATTGGACTGCCTGAAAAAAGCAATTATAAGACCCTCAGTTTGGCTATGTTTTCATGAATAAGGTAAATGGGAATTTATTTCTGGTGCATTCTCCTTCTGCCCCAAACCCCCCCCCCCCCCCCCGCCAAAGCAGAAGGGTGGAGATTTTTAAAAAATGGACTGAAACACTCTTAGAAAGCAAAGTTTTCAAGACAGACTTGGTATGCTGGTTCCTGCCAGTAGGTGTAGCATCATCTTCATTTGCAGATGGGGGATGCTGATATTGCATAGATTTGGTAAAAAATCTGTAAGGAACATTTAAAGATAAGGGTGGATGGAAAGGAACAGTAGAGGGATACAGGTCGTAGTGCTAGTGTACTAGTGAATTTACTTTGGTATTCACTTGACAGCGAAGACCTAGAGTAACTAGATGTACAAAATAGCAGGAATAGCTTATACCTATATACAAGGAAAGCCCCTATTATCATTAAGAGGTACAATATAATAGTTTTTCATGTGTTTGAAAACACAAATATGTATACACATCTCTGTTTATGTGTTTATATAAACATAGTGCTTATATACCTAAACATCTCTGTTTATGTGTTTATTGTAACATTTCACTCTTCTTTTTGTTGAACAAAACTAGAATTTTAGCTTTCAAATTTAAAACAGGAGACTTTTTTCTGTCTATTGGAGAACAGGAGGCTTGTTTTTTATAAAGAAAAAACTATATCAAGAGTCATGAAATGTTTTATACTCATAATTTTTCAGGATTATGACTTATCAGAATCAGGCAAGTTGCTGGTACATATTGTCTGATGGCATCCACTATATTTCTCCTGCCAATGTAAGTTGAAATAAAGAAAAGGGAATCCTTCACTTCAGATCTGGATTTGGCAAGAATACAACAATCAACTGATCCTTAGCTATAATGTTAAAATTACCTTATTTGTATAGTTTTTCTTGCTGATGGCAGAAACCAAGCAGGAATCACGCTTTCATGATCCAATTGTGGCATGGTTTCCTCTTTTTACTAGTGATGTTTGAACAACTAATGTAAAGCAATATTTCTGTATACAATTGTTATAGTATATATTTAAATTTTTAAGTTTTTTTGAAAGCACATTAACTTTTATTATGGATTTTCATAATTTCATTATAGAATATACTTCTGCTGAATTAAAGGTATAAATTGAATTTTCTCATCCCCCCCTCCCCCCCAGGCTACCATTAATCAGTTAAGAGCTGAACTTGCCAAAGGACCACAGGAAGTTGCTATATATGTACAAGACATCCAAAAACTTCAAACTTCAATTAATGAACTGGCACAGAAAAATCAGGTAAGAATTATTGTTATTTAACTCTGTTTTGAAAGCTATACCTTGATATTCTTGTTCAACCCTAAAGGTAAATTTGAATTAAATACACAATGATTTGAGTTAAATACACAGTGGTTTGAGTTCATTACACAATACTACTTATACAGTATTATACGATAATACTATTCTGGCTTACTTACAAATTTGACTTAAGGACAAACTTTGGGAACAAAACTCATTCTTAAACTGGGGACTACTTGAACTCACATATTCTTGCAAACATGTTATCTTTGTAATCAAGCTCACATGATTGGTTTAGATGTGGCTGCAACTGAGCTTAGGAGCAAAAGGGAAGTGGGACTGTATCTTCTCAGATTAGGGTCCTTCTTGATATTATAGTGAAGTAATAAAAATCCAGACTGAGAAGGTTGTCTTCTTATAAGAAAAATGTGATGGAAGACATGAGCGGGGAAGATTCTGCAATGGAGCTTCAAGGTTGCCGGGAAGGGGAAGAGAGGTTCAAGGGAAAGCACCTCGTCAGCTCCCAGTCAGAGAGTGGGAAAGTCAAGAGAAGGAGACTGGCCCCTCCCTAAGGGCATCATGGTTATAGCTGCTGTTGTTGGGGATTAGAATGAGTCTGGCAAGATTCTGTCTATTAGCTGTAAGCTAATAAAGGAGCTGAACCGATTCTGGACTGTCTTGCTGTTGTTCTTGGGCTGAACCTGACAAAAAATAACTGAAAACTACATTTTGGGGCCCTCAGTGGTACATGCTACTATCGGTCATGCATGCTTTTATATTAAAATATTAATTTTGCACTTGTAATCCAGCTGCCTATTATTTTATATAAAATTAATTAAATACAATCTCAATCCATTGTTATTTTAGAGTCTAGTGGAAAAATTAAAAAAGAAAGAATTGGATTATACTCAGTTAGAAGAAAGAAAACATGAAGAATCACTAGGTAAAAAGAATCTGCAAGCGACTCTTAATCAAAAGGACTTGGACTGTCAACAGCTTCAGGCAAGATTATCTGCATCTGAGGACTCATTACAGAGATTGCAGAAAGAATTGTGTGAAAGGGGAGAAACAAGTCAAAAACTTAAGGAAGAATTGTCAGAAACTGAAGCCAAATACCAACATCTTAAGGCAGAATACAAGCAGCTACAACAACAAAGGGAAGAAAAAGAACAACGGAGCCTGCTGCTTCAAAATGAACTCAATCAGGTAAAGTTAAGTTTATATGTTTTTAAGCAAAGAAATTATAAAGACTGATTTCACTGTTGGGCAAGAATTCCTATATTGTTTCTCGTAGTTTAAACAGAAGCAAAGCTTTTTTAAAAAACAAATAAACAGCTGTACATGCTAATCAGGTCATAAATGCAAAAGCATTGTTTCTAAATGGTAATGATCTTTTTTCATTGTTATCTGAACAATAGCATATAAAACTTCTTTTTAAGGACTACACTGTATGTACATATTAGGGAAATGAACCTATCATTTCCGTAATAAAGCATGTACCTATAACGTTTTCACATAGAAATGATACCCATGTCTCCCTCAGAATTGCCTTGTTTCCTTAGTTGAAAAACAATTATTTCTATTGGGGTCTCATATTAGTGCATATGGAGATAACAATAAACAGCAGTGCGGTTTAAAACTCACCCAATAAATACCAACAACCGCAGAGGATCCAAACCATTATTTTATTTTCCAAGACTAGCAAGTTACCATGATTCATGGTATCTTGCACCTGGATGAGCTAAGAGCAAGAGCCCCAAAGTTACATAGCTCTTATATAGGATGCTGATCAAGAAAATTGGGCAAGCATATGCACTAATATGAGACCCCAATAGAAATAATTGTTTTTCAACTGATAAGGAAACAAGGCAATTCTGAGGGAGACATGGGTATCATACTCCTGTGAAAACGTTATAGGTACATGCTTTAGGATGCAGCATAGCAGTTTTCTATCCTAGAAGTGTCAAGGTTTTCATTGTTGTTCTAACAAGCTGGCCCTGTATTTTACTGCAGAAGGAGAGAGAGACAAGGAAAAACAAGGCAATTCTGAGGGAGACATGGGTATCATTTCTATGTGAAAACGTTATAGGTACATGCTTTAGGATGCAGCATAGCAGTTTTCTATCCTAGAAGTGTCAAGGTTTTCATTGTTGTTCTAACAAGCTGGCCCTGTATTTTACTGCAGAAGGAGAGAGAGATAAGGAAGCACATCTTGTTCACCCGTGAACCTACTGCCTCTGCTCAAAATGTAAATTCTGTAGGCATTTAATCATCAAAAGGCAACAAATGGGCATAGTAACAAGAATGTCATACTTAGCTAAAAATATAACTAAAATGATTATTAAATAGTATAATTAATTCAAGCTAAATTATTATTCCAAATCACCCAAAACAAAACAAAACACCTGTAAAGACTCTTGATGTGTGCTCGACTCATAGTAACTATGTGGGCATGTCTGTGTAGTTTTCATGGGAACAATACAGTAGTGGTTTGCCATTACCTTTGTCTGAAATACTTTGACTTACAGGTCTAGCCTTTAATCTTAAGCTTTCCTGGTGGTTTTCCTTCCAAGATAAAGCTTACATATAGTCTATCTGTTCAGACCAGGCAAATGATAAATTTCTACTCTACTGCTGTGATAAGTTCTTCTAGTATACTTTTACAATGACAGTCTTCGGCCAAATGCCTAAGTAGGATTATGTTTGTACTGTTCTTGTTTTTAGTTTTCTACTTTGGTATATTAATGGAGATATTTTGGTCACATATGTGTCATAGGGGATTGGGTTCTCAGCATCCAACCAGACAAACTACAGCATGCAAATACCTTCTTTGAACCATTTTTTTCAAAAAATCATGACATAACTCAGATACAAAACTATTAGAATCTTAGTATCATGCAAGGCTAATCCTGGAAGTGGCATTTAGCTTAAGCAGATTAAGAAATAGTGTTCCTGCCTCCTGCCTCTGCATTTGATTTCAAAGAAGCTTTACCTGCAGTAAAATAGAACATTATTTTATAACTAAAATTATTCTGCTGATTAGCAATCAACTGTTTCCCTGCCTGCAAAGTAAGGCTTCTGCTGCTATGTTAGTTTGTGCCTAACTTAAGCTATATTTAAGTGTGTATAGCTATTACTAAATTCCCCTTAGAGTTAACTAAGAACATGAATCACTATTAGCTGGCAGTATCTTGTGGTTAGCAGAATGTTGATCATCTTGGGTCTTTCCTGGATCCGCTTCTCCCTTGGTAAGTTAGATAAGATCCCTTGAACCCTGGTCCTTTTTCATCTTTAATGATCTTCCCATCACTTCAGAACTCATGGTGGTCTTCACTCCATCTTGGAACCTGCAGCTCTTCAGCAGCCAAAACTATAAATCCAACAATTAGTTTGCCAGCCAGCTGCTTTTTGCTCTCTCCAAAACCCCAGATCTTTTCCTGCCAGTTTTTCAGACAATTTTCATCTCTTTTCCCTTTCACTCCCTATGAGAGCTTTGCATGAGAAAAACCCTTTATCTACTCCAGGTCACTGCTTTCCCAGCTGAATTGATCAGCCTCCACATACAGTTTCTGTGTTTGGGAGATCACATGATAGAATGACAGACTGTGTTTACTTGCTCCCTTCTGTTTCAGTGCAGTTCATATACATATATAACTTGCTTGTCTGAAAAAAAACAACTATAGATTATTCTGTGGTTTGAAGTCAGTTGAGACAATCTAGTTGTATAAATCTATTATCCTAAATATACATACTTATATTGGTTTATGCAAGTAACAGAGCCAATGTATAGTGGTTAAGGTACCGGACTATCCAGGTTTAAGTCCACCGTTGGGCATGAAAGCTAGCTGTGTGACTTTGGACCAGTCATTCTCTCTCACCCTAGACTGGGAAGTGGAAAAACCTGTATCTACCTATCTGGACTAGACCAGTGTGGTAGATAAAGGTCCATAACTATCAGAGAAGAGGCCTTCATCCTGCAGTGGATTGATTTGGGCTGATCATTATCTTCATGAAAACAAAATATGAGACTGCTCCCATTCTTCTAGCTGCAGCCTACTTGTTATTAGAAGGGAAGCTTGAACTGAGTTGTCCCACCTGCCAGACTTTTTGATTGGATTGTGTGTGGAAACTATCCACAACTTACTAGGACTGAATGTGTTGGTACCATTTGTATGCAAGTACAGTACATTTAAAAGAAAAGCATGGCATGTGATCAAAATGAGACCACTTTTCACTTCCAGTTGCACAATAAACTTTTGGAAACAGAACATCAACTTGGGGAAGCACATGGCCGACTAAAAGAGCAGAGACAGCTATCTAGTGAAAAGCTGATGGACAAGGAACAGCAAGTAGCTGACATTCAGTTAAAACTTTCACGTGCTGAAGAGCAGGTAAGAATATAATTCCTGGTTGAGTTGAATTTGTATTTTATAGTTAGCGACCAGAAAACCCCATCTTCTTGATCTGAGATTGGGAGGCTACCTTGCATTTTGCTAGTTTTAATTAAGGAAATGTATCTTCCTAAATTCCTTAATCCTTTAGTAAGCCTAATGGATCAGGGTATTTGATCCTTCATCATTAGGCTAGGAGCGTTTAATGTCTGCTTCTCAAGATTTTTTCCAGGGTTGGGTCCAACCTTTGCCTGGCTTTAACTAAATGTGTGCAAGAATTATAAAGATTATTGTCATAGCTGCCTAATTAATGATTGGCATCTAAACATTCTAGTTATCTCAAAATAGCTGATAATAAGACACAGCAGAACTTTTATTTTTCTATGCAAGTTTCCTAATGTAAAATAGGAAACAATAACCTATTGTTATAATGTTATTATAGTTTAACCTTTGATTTTTGTGGAAAAGTTCTTGATTTGATTGTAGATTTTTTTTAAAAAACCACTTCTAGGACGAATATAACACATGACTTCTAATTTAATACAAAAGGCATCTGATGTAAAATACTTCACTATTAGAGTAAATTATAAACTATTAAACTACTAAATTGTGCTTGTCAGTTTTCAGTCAACAGTCTGTGACTATTTTTCTAAGCTAAAGGAAAAAGCAGCAAATACAACTGAATTGCAACATCAGTTAGACAAAATGAAGCAGCAGCATCAGGAGCAACAGAATCTTCAGCAAAGTACTACAGCAAAACTTCGAGAAGCCCAGGTAAGAAAAGTTTTGCTGCTGGGAAAAAAACGCAACATATTCCTAGTGTGCTTCAAGAAGGAATATTTCTGTTGACACACTGGTTATAGTTACTACTTGGAGAAAGGAACTGGCTATAATCATTATATTTTGATGATTTCTAAATTAACTGTTGTGCTATATTTTTAATGGAACTGTCATTAGGCATGACATATGAAGTGGCCCAGAATTTGACAAACATATACAGTAATACCTCGATTCACGAACACTTGTTTGCGAACAATTCAGTTTGTGAACAGCAGCGTTCGCAAAATTTTGCTTCTGTTCGCGAACTCCGCATCGGGTGATGAACACGACCCGTTGCCATCTTCCCTGCTCTGACACGTGGTCGTGGCTTCCTCTAGGCAAGATCGTGGTTGCAGACAGACACTTGCT